GCACTTTCTTAGGTTCTTGGAAGATGTCAGCTTCTGGAAGCTGTCCAGGAGAAAGAAGAAGGCCTTGACTCCTTAGGTAAGTATAGTGGCATCTATAAATTTTCAGGCTTCTATTTTTGATAGTGATATTAACTATGAATTGGTAATATAGTTGTGGATGATGGATCAAACTGGAGCATGGGGCAAAGACAACTATTCTGTTTGGGGCGTGCGCTGTTAAGGAGAAGCCGGATATTGGTGCTTGATGAAGCAACTGCATCAATCGACAATGCAACTGACACCATTTTACAGAAAACTATTCGGACTGAATTCGCAGATTGTACTGTGATTACAGTGGCTCACAGGATACCAACGGTGATGGATTGCACCATGGTACTTGCCATTAGTGATGGTGAGTGACTGAGTCCCGTTTTTGAGCTTCATCTGATATTAATATAACTTAATGAAGGATTCATATATTTAAACAAGGAGTATTTTCTATGTTGCAGGAAAGCTTGTGGAGTATGATGAGCCAATGAATTTAATGAGGAGGGAAGATTCGCTTTTTGGGCAGCTTGTGAAGGAATACTGGTCTCAGTTGCACTCTGCAGAATCACATTAAAATGAAAAACTATTTCTTGTCTCTCTTGCCTTGGCAGCAAGAATTGTAAGTAGGATGTATAGTATTGCCGCAATATGTTAGGGGTAGAGAGCAAAGAACAAGAGGAACATTTGTTCCATTAGTCGGTTGCATTAAGCCGTATTCAAACCCCTATGCGTATTTATCAAAAGCATTGAGGTCTGGTACACCAGTTTTCTTAGGAATTTCAACAGCTTTTCTCATACTGCAAAATTAACTGGACCTTCTCCAAGCTTTCGACTTTGAAACACATGCAAATATGACCAAAAACGAAGATGGAAATATAAATGCTGAAAATGACCATAAATTAAACTATATTTTCTCACATGTGGATATGGGTATAATACTTGTCAAGTGAGCTGGCTGTGCTCTTCAAGTTTCAATAAGAAGCTTGTTGATTATCTTCAAGTCACAATAAGTACCATTTGAAAGAGAAACAGAAGAGAGCGAGGAAAAACTAAATCCTTAAACACATTGTTTGTCCAGTTTATGAAAGTGAGTGATTAGCCCACAAAATGGCTCACAAAAACTCTTTTGATATCTAGTATTTACAAAATAAAGGGACTTTAATTTTTAAACTAATTCAAACTTGGCATGCGTTGTAATATCATTCTTTGGTTGAAGAAACAAGAGGGAGAATCTGTCACTGGGTTTCTTTTAAAAAATGTTATCTTTATGCAGTTGTTTAATTTGTAATTTGTTTTGTATGGTGTCTTGTTTTTATAAAGGAATCAATATTTTAACGCATTAGCGTCCCGGATTAGAATTTTCATCCTGGGATTGATTTAATATATGACTATGAGAGTGAGACGTTTCTGATACAGGCTGATAAGTCTCTGTTGAAACAGTGATAATTTGCTGGAAATTTTGTTGGAAATTCAGTTTGTTTTTTAATCAATTTTTGGCGCCAAAGAACTGCTGCTGTCTCCTCTGTCTGCCGTGAATGGAGCTGCTTTAGTGGTTGATTTTTAGTGACATGTTTAGGTGCAATCAGCTAAGATTAAGGATGTATTTGTTGTAAACCTTACTTTTAAATTTCAAATCTGAATTGTCTGTTTTTAGTTGGTGTAATAGTAAGCTTTTGGATATATAAATTGTAATATGCATTGTAATGAAAGAGATTTTCTCTCAACTCAAATTCATTTTCATCTTTTCCTCAGTATTCCCGGCACTAAACACCAACAATTGGTATCAGAGCCACACTAAAATACCTGAAATCTCTCTTGCACTCAATCATCCATCTTAGCTCAAGAACACCTCCCATCTCAGCTCAAGAATATTCTATTCCAGTCTTCTTATTTTTCCTGCTTCAGACATCCAAATTGAATCAATGGTTGCTCAATCAGCCTTGATGTCACCTTTAGTGTTTAATGGGGAACATTATCATATATGGGCTATAAAAACGAAAGCTTTTCTTTGGGGTCAAGGGCTGTGGCAGTATGTGGAAGAAAACAGGCAGCCACCACCATTGGGACCAAATCCTACTCTGAATAAGATGCGAATGCATGAGGAAGAAGCTGCCAAAGCACTGAGAGCCCTATCCCACATCCATGCTATTATAACAGACCTTGTATTCACAAGGATTATGGCATATGAAACTCCAAAGGAGGCATGGGATAAGTTGAGAGAGGAATACATGGGAAGCAACACAACAAGGAATATGCAGGTGCTGAATTTAAGAAGAGAGTTTGAGATGTAGAGGATGCAAGAATCAGAGAAGGTTAAGGATTATATTGACAGGCTGATGAGTGTTGTCAACAAAATAAAGCTGCTGGGAGTGGAGTTAACAGACAGGAGAGTGGTGGAGAAAGTCTTGGTAAGCTTGCCTAAAAGATTTGAGTCCAAAATCTCCTCTCTTGAGGACTCAAGGGATATGGGGCAGGTTACTCTTACAGAGCTGGTTCATGCGCTACAAGCACAAGAGCAAAAAAGACTCTTGAGGCAAGAAGATGTAGGTGAGGGTGCAATATGGCAACTCACAAAAGTAAATCAGTTCGAGGGAACAATAGGAGATATGTCGGTGATAAGAAAGGGAAAGAAAGGATCGATGGTCAATGGGGAAAACTAGGTGGGATGAAGGAATATCCACCTTGCTCTCACTGTAAAAAGAAGGGGCATTTTGAGAAAAAATGCTGGTTCAGGCCAGAGATATAGTGTAGGGCCTACAAACAGTTTGTCCATATGGAGAGGATTTGTAAGAACAAAGGAGAGCAGCCCCAATAGCAAGCACGGGTGACAGATGATCAACAACCTGAACAAGGGACAAAACAGCTGTTTGTAGCCTCTTGCAGTGCAACACTAACAAGCTATGAAGGCTGGCTGGTTGACAGTGGATGTACAAACCATATGACACCACACCTGCAGGATTTTGTTAAATTAAATCCAGCACATCGGTCCAGGATCAAGATTACAATGGTGACTATGTTGAAGCAAAGGGAAAGAGAGATGTTGCAGTCCAGACCTCTACAGGTACAAAGCTCATTTCCAATGTACTCTATGCACCTGAAATTAGTCAAAGTCTTTTAAGTGTAGGACAAATGTTAGAAGACAATTATGTCTCGCATTTTGAGAATCAAATCTGTCAAATTTTGGACAGTAAGGGGTGTGAGCTGATGAAAGTTAAAATGGTGGGGAAGAGCTTCCCCATTAAGCTGAAAAGAATTGAAAATAGAGCTTGTAATGTAAGGGTAGATGGGTTTGAGAAATGGCATAAGAGACTTGGTCACTTTTATTATCAAGGTCTCAAGGAAATTCAAAGCAAGAAATTGGTCCAGAATTTGCCCGAAATAGAGGAGAGTAAAACTGTATGTCCAACTTGTCAACTTGGCAAGTTGAGTAGGCAGTCTCCTTCCCTGTAAACCAAGCCTGGAGAGCAGCTGAAAAACTCCAGCTCATTCATACAGATGTGTGTAGTCCTATGAAAACCTTGTCATTGAGTGGAAGTAGGTATTTTGTATTGTTTATAGATGATTGGTCCAGGATGTGTTGGGTGTATTTTTTGAAGCAAAAAGGAGAGGTTGCTGGTGTATTTAAGCAGTTTAAGCAATTGGTGGAAAACCAAACTGGAAAAACTATAAAATTCTTGAGAAGTGACAATGGTACAGAATACACTTCTCAAGAGTTTGAACAAGTATGCAAGGAAGCTGGAATTAGGCATCAATACAATAGCCCCTACACTCCACAGCAAAATGGAGTCAGTGAGAGGAAGAACAAATCAGTTGTAGAGATGGCAAGGTGTATGGTGGCAGAGAAGAGGTTGCCAAAGAATTTTTGGGCAGAAACTGTTAACACAATAGTGTTCTTACTCAGTAGGCTTCCCACAAAAGCCTTAGACAACAAAACACCTTATGAAGCCTGGTATGGAGTTAAACCAGCAGTAGATAGGCTCAAAGCATTTGGAAGCATATGTTACATTTTGGTTCTAGCAGCAAAAAGATCCAAGCTGGATGAGAAGGCCTTAATTGGCATTTTTATTGGTTATAGTAGTCAATCTAAAGCCTATAGGGTGTATGTTCCAGAAACAAAAAAAATTCAAATTTCCAAGGATGTCAAAATAGATGAGGATGGAGTTTGGAATTGGGAAGAAAATAGAGCTGATGTGGAGACAAAACCAAAATGGATAGAAGCTGTAGGTGATTGGATTATTGAGGATGATAAGAGTGATGCAGAAGAAGGACTCTCGGTTAGAGGTACCAGACCTTTAGCTGAGGTTTATGAGAGATGTAACATGGCTTCACTTGAGCCAACATGTTACTTTGAAGCAGCAAATTCAGAGGTTTGGAGAGCTGCCATTAAGGAGGAGCTGGCAATGATTGAGAAGAACCAAACTTGGAACCTGGTAGACAGACCTCAGAACAGAAAAGTGATCTAAGTTAAATGGATTTTCAAGAAGAAGCTCAATTTGGGTGGCTCAGTCTTTAAGCACAAAGCTAGGCTGGTTGTCAAAGGTTTTGCTCAGCAGTATGGAGTTGATTTCCTGGATGCCTTTGCACCAGTTGCAAGGCATGACACAATCGGGTTGTTACTTGCAGTGGCAGCACAATTTGCATGGAAAATTTTTCAGTTAGACGTCAAATCAGTCTTCCTCAATGGATGACTGAATGAGGAGATATATGTTGAACAGCCGGAAGGGTACAAAATTAGGGGAAAAGAAGATAAATATCTCCTAAAGAAGGCCTTGTATGGCTTGAAACAGGCACCAAGGGCTTGGTATAGCAGGATCAATGATCACTTATTGAGTTTGGATTTTGTGAGAAGTCCAAATGAGCACACATTGTATATTAGAGAGATTGATGAAGATGTGATGATTATCTCCTTGTATGTTGATGATCTACTTGTGACAGGGAGCAAACCAACTCAGTTAGAGGAATTCTAGAAATCCATGTTTGATGAGTTTGAGATGACAGATTTAGGTGAAATGGCTTACTTTCTCGGGATGCATGTTTATCAAAGCACAACTGGAATTTTTGTTAATCAAGAGAAGTATGTAATTGAAGTTCTAAGGAAATTCAATATGGAGAATTGCAAATCAGTGGACATTCCACTAGTTCCTAATCAAAAGCTGTCAAAGGATGATGATGCAGAAAGTGTTGATAAAGGGCAGTATAGGAGCTTGGTTGGCTGCTTGCTATACCTAACAGCAACCAGACCTGATATCATGTTTGCTACAAGTTTGCTGTCCAAGTTTATGAATCAGCCCAAGGAAACACACTTCAAAGCTGCAAAAAGAGTGCTAAGATATGTAAAAAGGAGCACCAACTTTGGAGTGTGGTTTAGGAGGTCAGAAAACTTTGGATTAATGGGATTTTCTGATAGTGATTGGGGTGGTTCTATGGAAGACATGAAAAACACTTTAGGGTATGCTTTCTTCCTGAATTATGGTGCAATTTGATGACTTTAAAAAAAACAGGAAACTATGTCACAATCCACAACAGAAGTAGAATGCATTTTGGCTGCAGCTGCTGTGAACCAAGCTGTTTGCTTGAGAAAAATTCTGGAAGATTTGAAACTAAAGCAGAGACATCCTACTGTAATTATGTGTGACAATTAGTTGGCTGTGGCTATGGCTAAAAATCTAGTCCATCATGGAAGGACTAAACACATAAAGATCAAGTTTCATGCAGTGAGAGAAGCTGAGCAAGAAGGGGAAGTTAAACTGGTTCACTGCAGTGGTGATGATCAAGTGGCTGACATCTTGACTAAAGGATTATCCAAAACCAAGTTTGAAGACTTTAGGCTCAGACTTGGTGTTTCCAGCAAAATTATCAAGGAGGAGTGTTGAAACAGTGATAATTTGCTGAAAATTTGGTTGGAAATTCAGTTTGTTTTTGAATCAATTTTTGGCGCCAAAGAACTGCTGCTGTCTCCTCTGTCTGCCGTGAATGGAGCTGCTGTAGTGGTTGATTNTTGTTTTCCCTGTGATAATGTTTAACTCCGGCATTGTCTCTGTTGCAGCTTATAGATGGAGATATTGTTTGCTTTCAAAAATCTCATACAGTTGAAAGTGCTGAACAATATCGCTATCCAAATGTTCCTTCATTTTAGGACTATGTGCATAATCAACAGGTACACCTCCATGGTCCCTATTGTATTCAGAAAACAAACTTTTCTTTGATATTCATTTTGTTTTATTATTGGTTTACAATCTCCCTACATTTGTGATTTATCTCTTTGCTTTTTTGTAGTGAACATCTTCCTTGTCATCCCTAGACATTGGGTTTATTTTTTTACAATTAACTGGTATTTATCAACTCATCATTTAACGTTGCTAAATTTTGCATGATTTTGTGTGGTAGGTGGTTGTTCACTTCCGATCTCTTGAAAAGCCGAAGGAAGATGATTTTTGTCTAGAGATGTGAGGGCTTAATATTAGATGAAGTTGAATTCTGTTATTTTACTGCGGATTTATCTTTTTTATTGTGCATTATTTTATGTATATGTATATTTCCGAGTAATTGTATCTGATACTATTGTGTTTTGAATGTCAAGGTCAAAGCTTTTTACGTATGATGTTGTTGTAGAAAGAGTAGCTCAAATACTGAATTTGGATGATCCATCCAAAATCAGGCTTACATCACATAACTCCTACTCTCAGCAACCCAAACCTCAACCTATTAATTACCGTGGTGTTGATCATTTGGCAGATATGCTGATTCAAAACGACCAGGTAGTACTCATGGTCCTAGTTAATGTGGGATGTTGAAATTTAATGGAAAATGTAATATTATGCCTTTTCTCATCGTGTTCTTGGACAGACTTCTGATATATTGTACTATGAAGTATTGGGCATTCCTCTGCCTGAATTAGAAAGTCTGAAATTTCTTAAAGTAGCATTTCATCATGATATGAAGGGTGAAGTGAGTATGTTGATCAATTTCTTAAGTTACTCTTAAAAGATGTTGAGCCTTTTTCCTGCTTTTCGGCAGAATCTATTTGTGCTTCACTTTTTTACTTGAATCTAAAAATCTGGAGCAGGTGGAGTTGTCTCATCCTGATGCAGAACTCCGGTTGCTAGAAGTTTTCTATCGTACGATATACAAGGTCTGAAGTTTTCTATAATGAGATTTACAAAGTCTTATTCGTGTGAAGAGATTTAAATTTCTACTTGATTCCTCTCAGAACCTTGAAGGAATTGAAAAAGAAACTCCTGCTGGAAAGAAAGGAGCTGAGGAGGCCACCGGTGAGGTCATCATGTCTCTCACTAGGCTTGGGGAAAATTTTAATCGTCAAGTGGAACAGATAGGTTTGCAGAACATATTGGAGAATCCAGCTGCTGCTTTAGAGCTATCTAAAAGGCTCTACAAGAATGAAGGATTTGAAAAATGATTTATCAGACGAGTTGATGGCATCTGTGCCTTCTGAAGTTTCCGTTGTTCGGGTTAATACTTAGTCCATTTTCTTCTGTTTATTCTATTCTCTTTCAACTTTACATTTCATATTCTCTTTTTCCCAGGACAAGGTAGTCTTATATGCATTTTTGAAAATGTTAGAGAGCAGAATGGCCAATCTGAGCGCTAAGGTTACCTTAAGTTCTAGTAAGTTAGCAGAAGCAGAGGCAAAGCTGAAGAGTTATGAATCATCTAAGGTGGATCATAACTCTAGAGTTGAATCCCTGGAGGCTGAAGTGATCAAGAAGCAAGCAAAGAATGAGACTTTGAAGAACCAAGCTATTGTTTCAGAGCAAAAAGCTTCCAGCACCCAACAGAAGGCTATATTCCTGGAGGCTGAAGTGATCAGGAAGCAAGCAGAGAATGAGGCTTTGAAGAACCAAGCTATTGTTTCAGAGCAAAAAGCTTCCAGCTCTCAACAGAAGGCTCTATCCTTGGAGGCTGAACTGATCAAAAAGCAAGCAGAGAATGAGGCTTTGAAGAACCAAGCTATTGCTTCAGAGCAAAAAGCTTCCAGCTCCGAACAGAAGGCTCTATTCCTAGAGGCTAAACTGATTTGTAATGAAGCAGAGAATGAGGTTTTGAAGAACCAAGCTATTGCTTCAGAGCAAAAAGCTTCCAGCTCCGAACAGAAGGCTCTTTTCCTGGAGGCTGAACTGATTTGTAATGAAGCAGAGAATGAGGTTTTGAAGAACCAAGCTATTGCTTCAGAGCAAAAAGCTTCTAGGTCTGAACAAAAGGCTCTACTCCTGGCGCGGACGATTCTGAAGTGGGATAAGTACTCAAAGGAACTGTCTGATGCTGCTTCCAAGCTCATTGAAGATTCCAATGGCTCTGGGATGTCTAAGGATCAAGGTGCTGATCCACTTACATTCCTTTCTTTAAGCTAGCCAAGACCAAGCTCTGGATCACTTGGACCTGAACTCCTTTGAATGTGGTATTTGTTTCATATTGTTGGTATTTGGCCGGAGAACTCTAAGAAAGAAAAGGAGAAAAAATGCAGAAGGTGAACTGCTGTATTTCATTACACTGTAACTTGCAATATATACACAACAAGGCTTACTGTTTTACCAACTACAACAACCATTCAGACTTTAAATTTCAAAAACAAAGTTGGTAACTTAATGCACACTTATCTTACACTGATTACACCTAAACATGACACAAAATTAACAACTCCATAACAACTCCATCAGCTTCAGTTTCAGCAGGAAACAAGGGAATGCAACTGCTACTTGGCCCCAAGAAACTAATTCAAAAACAAACTAACTTAACTGAATTTTCCAGCAAATTATCAATGCTTCAACACATATCTACAGAGGACGCAGAACATTAAGAATTTACATGTCGAGGTTTCGAAGTTCCAAAGCTGTTGCTTTAGAAAGAAAGCTTCCAGCGTTGAACATAATGTTCTTGTGTTCTTATAGTTTCAGAAATGTATGTATGTATTATTATTTTTAAACATAGTATCTGAAAATAACAATATATTTATTTTCATTATCTTATTATAAATTCGAATATTTATCTGTATTCTACTTAAACAGTATACTATCACTTTGACACATACGTTTGGTTCCCTATTTGTATTTGGAATTGGAATTGGATTTAGCCAAAAAAAAACGTTTGTTTCAGTGCTCAGAGAATCAAATTCTAAAAAACTGATTCCTAACACACAAAATGACCACTCTGACAAAAGCTCAGTGGCTTTTTTTTTTTTTTTTTTNATGAGATTTACAACGTCTTATTCGCGCGAAGAGATTTAAATTTCTACTTGATTCCTCTCAGAACCTTGAAGGAATTGAAAAAGAAACTCCTGCTGGAAAGAAAGGAGCTGAGGAGGCCACCAGTGAGGTCATCATGTATCTCACTAGGCTTGGGGAAAATTTTAATCGTCAAGTGGAACAGATAGGTTTGCAAAACATATTGGAGAATCTAGCTGCTGCTTTAGAGCTATCTAAAAGGCTCCACTCTACAGGAATGAAGGATTTGAAAAATCATTTATCAGATGAGTTGATGGCATCTATGCCTTCTGAAGTTTCCATTGTTTAGGTTAATACTTAGTTAATTTTCTTCTGTTTATTCTCTTCTCTTTCAGCTTTCCATTTCATATTCTCCTCTTCCTAGGACAAGGTAATCTTATATGCATTTTTGAAGATGTTAGAGAGCAGAATGTCGAATCTAAGTGTTGAGGTTACCTTAAGTTCTAGTAAGTTAGCAGAAGCAAAGGCAAAGCTGAAGAGTTATGAATCATCTGAGGTGGAACTCTAGAGTTGAATCCCTGGAGGCTGAAGTGATCAAGAAGCAAACAGAGAATGAGACTTTGAAGAGCCAAGCTATTGTTTTGAGCAAAAAGCTTCTAGCCCCCAACAGAAGGCTGTATTCCTGGAGGCTGAACTGATCAGGAAGCAAGCAAAGAATGAGGCTTTGAAGAACCAAGCAGAGAATGAGGCTTTGAAGAACCAAGCTATTGTTTCAGGGCAAAAAGCTTCCAGCTCCCAACAGAAGGCTTTATTCCTGGAGGCTAAACTGATCAAGAAGCAACCAGAGAATGAGGCTTTGAAGAACCAAGCTATTGTTTTAGAGCAAAAAGCTTCCAGCTCTGAGCAGAAGGCTCTATTCCTGGAGGCTAAACTGGTCTGTAATGAAGCAGAGAATGAGGTTTTGAAGAACCAAGATATTGCTTCAGAGCAAAAAGCTTCTAGGTCTGAACAAAAGGCTCTACTCCTGGCGCGGACGATTCTAGAGCGGGATAAGTAATCAAAGGATTTGTCTGATGCTACTTCCAAGCTCATTGAAGATTCCAGTGGCTCTGGGGAGTCTAAGGATCAGGGTGCTGATCCACTTCCGTTCCCTTCTTCAAGCTGGCGAAGACCAAGATCCGGATCACTTGGACTTGGACTCCTTTGAATGTGGTATTTGTTTCATATCTACAGAGTACGCATAACATTAAGAATTTACATGTCGAGGTTTTGAAGTTCCAAAGTTGTTGCTTTAGAAAGAAAGCTTCCAGCGTTGAACATAATGTTCTTGTGTTCTTATAGTTTGAGACATGTATGTATGTATTATTATTTTTAAACATAGTATCTGAAAATAACAATATATTTATTTTCATTATCATATTATAAATGCGAAATATTTATCTGTATTCTACTTTAACAGTATACTATCACTTTGATATTTAAGTTTGGTTCCCTATTTGTATTTGGAATTGGATTTAGCAAAAAAAATGTTTGTTTCAGTGCTTAGAGAACCAAATTCTAAAAAATTGATTCCTAACGCACAAAATGACCATTTTGACAAAAGGTCAGCGGTTTTTTTTTAATTTTTCCTGCTTTTTCTCTCTCTTCCTTATTTTCTTCTTCTTCCTTCACCATGCTAAGGCATTCAAAAACCCACCATGCTAACACATTTTAACACAATCAGAAACCCACCCTTAACTTGAAACCACCATCGGCGTCAGGAAATCCAAATCGTCATCCCCAACAGTCACCATCTTCCACGTTACAACCAAAGCTAGACCATCTTTCACTTGCATTCAAACTCAACACTTAAAGAACCTGAAACTCCTTCTACAACGATAATTAGCAAAAAAACAAACAACCACTAGCGGAAGAGGACAACAACAAAACATCCCACTGCCAACCTCAACAGATCAAAAAATTGAAGCCAAAATCCACACACCCTGCCTACCAACAACAAACACTAGCCTATATCCAAAGCACCCCCCGACTGGACATAAACACATTCACGATCTACTGAGGAAGAAGAAACAATTACAGATAACATTTCCACACCATAGTCATAGACTAAGAACCCAAAGCAAATCATTTCACCATCATTATCCACCACCTTCAAGCCCCACCTCCGGCGTTGACAGGACTCCAGATCCACTAGCAAAAAAGGTTTTCTTCTCCAACCTGAGCCTACCACCTTCGACAGCCACCACCTTAGAGCCCCACCACCAGCGCACATGAGCCCATATCGAGCACCATCGTCGGTGAAACCTCCCCCAACCCGAGTCCAGCAGCTTCTTTAACGAGCACCAGTTCCACCACCATCGTCGGCGAGAGCTTATCGAACCCGAAGCCACCGCATTCTTTAAGCATCAATGGCGTTGTTTAACTACTTCATTAACCCACCATCG